CTTTTGAATTCAGCCTCATTTATTTCTCAGGATATTGACAGAATGAAGCTAGTTTATTTACCAGAATAAAATACCAACAGCATCCAGTCCTGCTCCTGGTAGTGTCTTTGTTCCCTTCTGAAACCTCATGAGGTAAGCCTCTACTAACCACATTTCTCTCAGCATTCTGGGCCTCTAAACACCACCAAAATGGCAAACTAAGCTCTGCTTACAGCATGCTAGGGCTTTTCTAGCCTGAAGTTCCAAACTCTTCCATATTCTTTCCACAAACCTGTCCCAAAGGCTTAAGAACCACAGTCTGCTTTATTACAGCGATCACCCAACTTCTTAGTACCAATTTTCTATGTTAGTTACTGTTCTCATTGCTGTGGCAAAATACCTCACAAAAAGAACTTAAAGGAGGGTTTATTTGGCTCACAGTTTGAAGGTGTAATCCAACAAAGAGGCAAGAAGTTTAATGCACCTGATACATGGTAGCAACAGTCAAGAAGCACAGAGCCTCAAGGAAGAAGAACTAGGCTATACAAAGCTCCAGGCCCTCCCTCCTCAGTGACCACTTCCTCCAACCAGGCTCTACCCTTCAAACATTACCCAGCCTTCCATAACAATACCATCAGTTGGGGAATGCATATTCAAACTATGAGCCTATAAGAGGACATTCACATTCAAACCACAACCATCTTTAGAGGCTTAGTCTACATTATTGATAGCAACTACCTTATGCTTCATTTCAGAAACTTGGACCTTAATTAATTAGATGGCTTACATACCCACTCTATGAAATGAATCACCTGTGGATTTATGACCTAGGTTTTGGAGGAAACCAACAAGTAAATGTATCAAGCCTAGAAATACTCGGGGGTCTAGAACTACCAGTCCTGGCTAATGTAAGCCACTCCCTGTGAATGAGACTGCAGACCCTACTGAGCCCCTTCAGGAAAATTTGCATGAATGATGGCAAAGCTAAGGCTCTAGCCATCTAGAGGAAGTGTTGAATGACCTGCTAGTTCACTACCTTCACAAGAACTGAATTGGGTCAGATTTCTGAGTCTCTGTTCCAGAGGTACACTTTTGCCCTGGGGCCTGGCAATGTCTGCTCTCCCTGCCTGGACCTCACTGCTCCAATTGATGTCATCTCTTTCAAGATTGTGCCTCGTATATTAGCTTTTCAGGCCTATCCTGACCAACCTATTTAAAATTCCAACACATTCCTCCCAATCCATTATACCTTCCTCTGACTTTTCTTCTGTATGACTTTCAAGATACTAGATTATTTACTTAAATTATTCACTATCTTTCTCCCTTCACTCACATCAAGATCCCCAAAGGCTGGGATCCCCCACTCCCCACAAATAACAAGTGCTCAGAACTGTCTCTGGCACAAGCAAGTGCTATGTTATTACATAAATAAATTCAAAAGGCAGAGATACTTTCACCAATGCACCAAAAGATGGACTCAACTAAGTCTGGGGTATGACCTTCATTGCTAAATTTAGTGTTCTTGATGTTTCTAATCCTCCTTGTTACCAGTTTAACTTCACCTATTTATGACAACCACACCAAGAGTGTTTCTACAAACTCAAGTATCTCCTCACAATGAGAAGCAAACAAATTTAGATCAGCTTCTTCAGTCTCTAGGAAACAGCACCAGGGCTCCCAGTAGACTGATAGCAAAGCAAGTGGTGAAGCTCTTCACAGTTACAGGGCTGTGGGATTTCAAGGCAATGCAAGTGTGGAGGGAGTTGTGGCTGGAGTACTTGAGTGCTTACTCCAGTACTGAACTAAAAACAAAAAGCAAATCGGGAAAATGGGCATAGCACCCTTCCAAAAGGAGAAAATATTTGCTAAGACAGAGACTTGTGAAAAGCCTATTTCTCTTGTATCTGAAGTCACAAGCCCTTGTTCCTTACCAGAAATGGGAAGAGGAAAACAGGCAAAACCAAGAGCTAATCGGCTGAGGATACAGCCCAAAGGCAGGGTTCCTGCTTTGTGAGGGTGAAGCCCTCAGCTCAATCACCAGAGTCACTATTTTTTTTTAAAGGCTAAATATACATATACAAGATGAGAAAGATGATGATTCACAACTTAATGTACTTAATTTGAATAACAAACAATAGCTATAATGAAAACCATAGGCCTTGAACAATCTGTCAATGATTTTGACTAGTGACTAAATGGTATAACCCCCCCAAAAGTCTCCAAGATGGAACTATTACCTAATCACATCTCTAACCCTCTCATGATTGCCAAATAGGACGGTTGGATAAAAGTAAAATCAAATATATCTCTTGGCCTTTTCATAAATCTTTAATGTAGCCACTGGCTAACAAAGATGAAATCATAAATCAATCATTTAAAAAAAAAACAAAACCAACCCATCCTACACCTCCAAAATTACACAGACTGCATCACAAAAAGTATAGAACTCTCAAAAATGCTTTTATATTTACACCTTTGCCTCTTCATCAAAAGTATATTTATATACTACCAATTAATCCAGATGCTATTATTCTCTGTGAGATCAACTCCTATTTCTTTCTGTATGAAGGGCTTCCTTTGAAAGTAAGAGAGTAAGAGGCCTCTTCTTAGCCTGGGTACACATCAGTTTAAGTGAGCCTCTTCAACCTTCGAACTCAAGTGTTTGTTCATTTTAACATCTACTTTTCAAAAGTTTTCTGGTTCAAACTATCTCTCAAGTATAGTAATTGTTAGTGCTGCTAAAGAATTTGCCTAACTCATAGCTATTGTTGCAAACTTAATTTTTCAATATTTTCACCTTTGAAAGAAAAACATCGACCTTTTGTGAGTATGATACCATTTTGGCCGGGCATGGTGACACACACCTTTAGTTCCAGAACTCGGGAGGCAGAGGCAGGTGGATCTCTGTGAGTTCAAGGTCAGCCTGATCTACATAGTGAGTTCTGGGGGGTGGGGGGCGCTACAGGGAGACTCTGCCTCAAAAAGACAAAAAAAAAAAAAAAAAAGAAAAAGTTGAGTTTTAGTAACTTACATAAACCCTTAGTCCTTAACCTCTTAAAAAATATCTGCACAATATTGGGATAACTTGGGCAGACTCAAAAAAAAAAAAAAAAGACATGATTTGCCAATAATAAACCATCTGACGGCAAATTAATTCAAGAGACATAATTGTGTTTAGTGTATATTAACACAAATATTATTTACATTTTCTTTTAGCTGGTTAGCAGTCCAAGTAGGTAGGGAATCAGGCACAATTATTACTCAACTTACATAAATTACTGTTTACTCGGATATAACTATTTTAATGGATGGGGCATGCAACCACAGTTTTCTGTGGCTCAGGAGATGTCATTCATACATATCTATACAATGAATATTTATGTTATTTACATTTATCATTTCCATTTATTATTGGGAGTAAGGAGAGGTACAGTGAACTAAAAAAATTTCTTTTTGGAACATTGCATTACTGGAGTTTTTTATTTTAAGCTAGCTATCCTGAAAACCCTGATTTATTCTTCAAGCACTTTCAGTTATGACTATAGAATCATGATATGAATCAGCAAATTTGCTACTCTATTAGACTGCTTTTAAGACCACCAAAACTTGGGAGCCTAGCTCTTCCATGTCATTTTTATCAGAGGAGACAGAAGATACTACAGAGTTGTTCAGAAATTTCAAAACCTGACAATTTCTCATTAAAATTATGTTTTCAAAGACATTCTGTAGACATTTTTCAGGATTATTTCATATTGTGGACGGCCCAACAAATCCCACTCTAGACAGCACTTAACGCTTATGAAGCACCCACTATGTGCAAGGAAAGGGCACTATACAAAGCAAAGGAGCATAAGGCTCTGCCTCATTTTATTCGTGCACAAATACACAGTGGTCGTGATTTACTCTCTCAACTTTGTAGAGACGTGAGCTGCATCCACATGGCTGAGTCCATGGCATTCATTTGGACTTCCCAGGGCAATTGACCGGTTCTTTGGGTTTGACGGCCTCATCTAGGCAACAAGCATCCCCTTCACCTTCCAAACCCACACAGGGGACAACTCTGGGGAGATGGCCACACCTTCTGCAGGTGGCTGGGTCGCTGGAGCCAGAAGAATCCGACCCATCTGCCTTCGCAGGCGCTGGCGATGGAAGTGTGCAAACGTGTGCAAGGACTTATGCGAGGCAGAGGACTTGTTGAAAGGTTCCTGGGTCCCCGGGAACGGGAAGCGGGCCCCGTGGGACGCCCCTCCCCCGCGTCCCCGCGCCCGCGCCTCGCCGCGAAGGCCGCCGCGGGTCCACGGGCGCAGCAGCCGCACCTCGGGCCTAGCGCGAGTGCAAGGCGGATCGCCCAGCCGCACAACCGGGCACTGCGACACGCCCGGCCGCGGCCCGCGGGGCTCTCCTC